CAGTGTCTCTATACTTCTTCATTCGTTCATCCTTGGCCTCAAATTCTCCAGTGACGTGGCCTACCACTAGCTTGGAATCGCACCGGACTTGGATTCGCTCAGCTTTTAATGAGGCTGCCAACCTCAAGCCGCAAAGCAGTGCCTCATATTCAGCCTCATTGTTCGAGACTTTAAACCGGAATCTCACGGAGTAGTATGCCTTGAACCCTTCCGGAGATATCGCCACGACACCTCCCCCCGAAGCACCAGTCGCGGACGACCCATCGGTGTACACGGTCCACCAATTCCCCTCGGGTTCTTTTCCACTAGATTCTACCTCTCTCGCGGTGCATTCTACCACGAAATCTGCTAATGTCTGCCCCTTTATCGCCGGTCGCGGCTTGAACTCTATTTGAAAGGATCCCAGGAACACCCCCCACTTGATGACCCGTGACGGGGCATTTGGGCTTCGAAGAAGTGTTCCGATGGGAATTTGTGATAACACATGGACCGGATGGGCTTGAAAATATGGTGTGAGCTTTTTCACCGTACACACCACCGCAAAGATGGTCTTCTCCATGTTGGTATATCTCAACTCCGCCCCTCGCAGCACTCGGGCCACATAGTACACAGGTCACTGTGCGCCCTCCTCCTCCCTCACAAGCACCGAGCTCACAGCTCGAGGAGAGATTCCTAAGTATAGGAATAAGGTCTCTCCGGGCTCTGGCTTCAAAAGCACCAGTGGGGAGAGGAGATATGCTTTTAACCCCTCAAAAGACCGTTGACATTCCTCGGTCCAAACGAACCCTCTACTCTTCTTAATGGTCTGGAAGAAAGGAGCCTCTCGATCAGCGATCTTTGATAGAAAACGACTGAGAGCAGCAATCTTGCCGGTGAGCTGCTGGACCTCCTTTACATTCCATGGAGGCTCCATCTCCAAAATCGCCTTTACCTTTTCTGGGTTAGGCTCGATCCCTCTCCGACTGACCATATGTCCTTGGAATTTACCCCCCTGCACCCCAAATGTGCATTTCTTGGGGTTAAGGCGAAGCTAGAACATCTTCATGATCTTGAATACTCTCTCCAGGTCGCCAGCATGAGACTCCGTCCGTTTGGACTTGACAATCATGTCGTCCACATACGCTTCCATGCACCCCCCCTAGTACCGGCGCGAACAGCTTGTTCACCATCCGTGCATAGGTCGCCCCAACATTCTTCAAACCAAAGGGCATCACCTTGTAACAGTATACGCCACTGGGGGTGATGAAAGCGGTCTTTTCTTCATCTGCCACTGCCATCTTGATCTGATGGTACCCACTGAATGCGTCCATGAAACTCATCAGCTCGCATCCTGCCGTCTCATCAACCAACTGATCAATGTTGGGGAGAGGAAAAGGATCCATCGGGCAAGCTTTATTTAGATCAGTGTAATCGACGCACATCCGCCAGGTATTCCCTTTGGGTGCGAGGACTACATTTGCCAACCATTCCGGGTAGCGGACTTCCCGGATGTGCCCAATGGATTGCAGGGTGGTCACCTGCTTGGTGACAAACTCTCTCCGTTCTGAGGAAAGGAAACGCTTCTTCT